TAACATGACCAAACATGCAATTAATGACCTTGGCTGGGAAGTTCTGCTACACTCACCATATTATTATCTCCTTCGGACTACCATGTTTTTCGGTCGCTTTCTCACAATTTGAGGGGTGATTCGTTCAACAACGATGTGGAGCTTAAACTGTCTTGATTAATTTTTTCTAGTCAAAATGTTGAAGCATTAAACACTCTATGGATTGTTGTCTAGAGGTCGTAAACAGTGAAAGGGAATACAGTGTTTTATAAATGAGTATAAGTATTAAAACCTATATTTATAAAACAGAAGATATCTCTGTGTGTCTGTGTGTGTATGCTCGTTCACATTTCTCGACAGCTTTCGATGAAATTGTACACACATATTGCAAATTTAATAAAATAGCTCAAAACCAACATGACAATCTCCAGAAACCTCAGAATTGGTAGAAAACTCGATAAAACTCAAGGTGGGTACGATATGTTGCAAAAACTAAGGCAAATTTACATGCGAAGAAAATTTTTACTGGATGAGCTGATGTTCTTTTCACTTAATTCAAAACATAGCCCATGTTACAAGGTTTGTGTAGATTGCATGTTAGCTTTCTTGCGACATTGGCTTAAAACAAAGAATTGCAAAAACTGAAAAAATCGGGTTTTTCGTACCACTTAATATAAAATCTTAAATTATTTCCTCATTTTTATCGGATTTTCTTCAAACATGTCGCAGAAAATTTGCCATCATGCGTATAACGAAAAACCATGAAAAACGGTTAAAAGAAAGTCCGTTTTTCGGCCATATCTCCGTAGTTTTTCATCCAATGCTTTCCAAATTTTCCATGTAAATTACAAATTGTCTTGTGTAAATGTTGGGTTTAGATTAAATCTGCGACAAACTAAGTCCAAAATCGGCATTTCCCATTGAGTCAGTAGTTTCTTCATATGATTTCATCTTAATTTGGAATTCGATCAACCTTTGGTGCAAAGTTTTTTTGAGATGGACTATTGAAGCGTTAAAAGAGAAACATTCCCGAAGAACCTCTCATTAAACCCAGCTTTACAGTAAAACATGCTAAGAAGCAGAGGGGGCGTTCACGTGTTTGCACTTGCAGTTGAATCAAGCTCTGACGCTTCATCATTGTCTTTGTTTATAAGATTTGGGAACAATGCCAAACTATTTCAAAGTTATTACGGCCATAGGAAATTTACTGAATATCTAAAACATTGAAGCAATTTAACCCAGAGCAACGATCAATCAAGATGTTTTTATTGATAATATCCTTTTATTAAGAACAATCAAAGACTTGCGAAGGTCACACAGTAAAAAAGATGAAGGGTGGTGAGTAGCTTAGTATATGATACGGATGATGCATGCAAGCGGGGACGCAGGCAGACATTTCTAGACAGGGATGCGGGTATACAGAGGGTTGCGGTTATACAATTGCAGCTATGAACACCCGGGCAACGCCGGGTACCTCGGCTAGTAAATGCTAAAAAACGAACGAATTTGTGTAACAACGTAACACATCTTTCAAATCCTGAAACCATAGGAAGCAAGCCTGATGCAACTTCAGATTATATATTATTGTTCTTATTTCATTCATTTGCACAGACACGCTTCGTATTCCATGATTGTCATTGAGGATCTAGAGAGATAGAGAGATAGAGATTGAGGCAGAGAGCAAAAAAGCATGCGAATCCTTAATTCGGTACACTATTTACATTATTCGGACTATTGTCCTCATCATTGTCGCCATATTTATTACAACGTTTCGGCGGTTGTACGCTCCGGCCGAAACGTAGTAAATATGGCGACAATGATGAGGACAATAGTCCGAATAATGTAAATAGTGTACATAATACCTCATCTCAGAAATATAGACAGACCCTAATTCGGTATGATTTTTAGCAGAGAATTTCAAGTCGTCCATTTCCAACAGGTGCTTTTAATACTTTTCAGAGATTTTTTGTCCAAAATCTGTTCTATAAGGTTCAACAGAAAGAGGAAATAGTGCTAGACAAAAGGGACAAGGAACAGTACCTTATAAAATCACGCATGTTTTTTTTTTGTTTTTTTTTTTCAATTTTTAATATTTACCAGTTAGGCAACTGTCATTTCGCTTACAAGATCAAACTTTAAATCTATTTTCTCCGTTTAAAATAATACATTATTAGTTTTTTTTTTCATATTCAGCTGTTATGAAAATGATTTCAAATGAACGGCTTATTATTTTCCTGTTTCCCAGAGGTTGATGTCTGACACAAAAGGAAATTAGACGGAGTGACATAGACATCCATTTCTATTTCATTTCACTTTTGTGTGTTCGTACATTTCCTTGCTCGCATGTACGTTTCAAATTCCATAAGAGTTAAATGTTGAAAAAATAAAATAAAATCTTTAAAAATATAATTTTGTTTATTTCTCTCCCCATAATTTTCGAAAATTCAATAAAATTTCATAATTATCTGATTGTTCGGGTTTAAAAATAACGTTCTCTTTCCTTTCTTCATATCTAAATTTATGATGTTATAGCTCAGCTCAGGTTAGGGGTTGTATAGACTGAGTGAGGGGTGAATGTATTATTCCATTGTCTTATTTCAAGCTTACTCAGTTTGTGTGTATATGTGTGTGCGCGTGTGCCTGTGTTTACATTAAATGATGCAAGCCCATGTTAGACCTTCACACAAACGTACGTTTATACATAAGCGCAGGCACATTACATAGGCGCATGAAAATTCACATGCAGACTGTGTGTGACTGACAGACAATCACCGCTTCTTTTATAATATACACTCAGACGGTGCGTAGGAGCTATACCCTAAATGTATTATCTGATGGGCTCTCAAACCTAGCCCAATCAAGCAGGTTTCTACAATATTTGAATTCTTCTTCTTCTATGTGCTATGATCCTTGAGGACGTTGGTGATCATACCTCTCCACAATTTCCTCTTCTTTATAGCTCTTGATAAATATTGACATTTTGCTATCTCTCCGAATCCCTGTTCTGCCATCTATTTACACAAGCTCCTTAGATAGGTTATGCGCTGTTTTCACCAGTTCCTCTTGCCTTCAACATTTTCTGTGTGTGCAAATATTTCAAGCCATCTTTTCTCATCATATGACCTAAAAAAATCAACTGTCTTTTTCTGATGGTAAGTAGAAGTGTTCTTTTTCCCATTTTCTCTAATCGTTTCTAACATCATTATTACTCACATATTTAGTCCATGTTATTCTCAGCATTCTTCAACATTTTTGTGGCTTCTATAACTTTGAGGAGATTATCCAGCATTCACTGCTAGGACTGACCTTACGTAACACAAGTCTTTTATACATTTGTGTAGAGATTATCCAGCATTCACTGCCAGGACTGAACTTACGTAACACAAGTCTCTTCTACATCTGTGAGAAGATTATCAAGCGTTCACTGCCAGGACTGACCTTACATAACACATTAGTTCTTATACGACTGTGAGGAGATTATCCAGCATTCACTGACATGACTGACCTTACATAACACATTAGTTCTTATACGACTGTGAAAAGATTATCCAACATTCACTGACATGACTGACTTTACGTAACACAAGACTTCCTATACATCTGTGAGATTATCCAGAATTCACTGCCAGGACTGACCGTACGTAACACAAGTCTCTTCTACATCTATGAGATTATCCAGCATTCACTGCCAGGACTGAACTTACGTAACACAAGTCTCTTCTACATCTATGAGATTATCCAGCATTCACTGCCAGGACTGACCTTACATAACACATTATTTCTTATACGACTGAGAAGATTATCCAGAATTCACTGACATGACTGACCTTTTGAACACAAGACTTCCTATACATCTGAGAGGAGATTATCCAGTATTCACTGTCAGGGCTGATCTTACGTAACACAAGTCTCTTCTACATCTGCGAGGAGATTATCCAGCATTCACTGCCAGGACTGAACTTACGTAACACAAGATTTCTTATACATCTGTGAGGAGATTATCCAGTATTCACTGCCAGGACTGACCTTACGTAACACAAGTCTCTGCTAAATCAATGGGGAGATTATCCAGCATTTATTGCCAAAACTGACCTTACGTAACATTTCAGTATACTTTTGTAGTTTCCACTGAAATTTTCCTGTTTCTGAATACTTTGCTTAGCTTTTAGAAGATCTCTTTTGATATCTCTATGCGACTTTGGAGTTTCATTTTGGACTTTCCATCCTTTGCTAAAATTCGTTAATTTTGAAATATTCTTTGAAAATGCACTTTAATATGAGTTCTTATATTATCAATAAAATTAATCGTTTTTAATTAAGTTAATTGATTCTAAATATTACTAATGTCATCTTACGGAAAAAAAAAACAGATTTTTTAGCTAACCTAATATATGAGAAAGAAAGAAAGAAAGAAAGAAAGAAAGAAAACGAAGAGAAGGAAGAGTAAAGACAAACTCGAGAAGGAAAGGGAGTACGCCGTTGAAGAAGATACACCGTTGCTAGATTTTTCGACGGACACTTTTTGTCCTTCAGATGAGAAAGCCTCGAAGAAGACAAACCAGAGAATAAAAAGAGACAAGGAACTGAATGAATCGTGATTTCAGGGCTAAAATGAAAGCAGAATAGACACAAAAGTCTGAGCTCACCAGGATGAAATATTTGATGGACCAATATTAAAAAAAAATAAAATAAAAGAAAAAATCATAGGAGTAAGGGAGCGGGGAAAAATCGTGGGTGATCTTTTAATGCTTAGCAAATGTCGCGAATTAATATCTTGAAGCTGCATCGACACCTCCACGAAAAATCCTGCTTCCCTTGCTCTCTTTCCCACCACAAAACGCCGCCGGATACGTCCGCGTCCGAAGTTGGTCAATGGTTGTTTCATGGGGCCTGGCGGCGTCCGCATTGTAATCAAGCGGGCAGATAGCACGCCCGACCCTTCCCTTCTACCAACCCTTATTTTCCCTCCTGTTTCCCGCCATTTGCTCGTGTCAGGTGACCGTTGAACGATAGACAAATGAATGGAGGAGAGTTGTTCTCTTCCCCACTGTGCTTACTCCATTTTCCTTTTCGGCGGTCTATCGCTGGTAACCTTTCTTCTCTCCGCGTCATTTTGTTGCCATCTACTCTCTGCGCCATTTTGTAGCTTTCTTCGTTCGTTACACCTTACCGTTCGCTTTTGTGTCTATTTGCCTTTATTGAAAGGTTTACTATTTTCTGCACTTTTCTTTGCCATTATCCATGCCCCGAGTCTTCATCTTTTCTCCATTTTCTGTTAAACATTTCCTTTCTTTCATTTTCGGGTATTTTTGCTTTTACTTTTGGCTCATTGTTGGGAATATAACTTTATTTCTTTTTCGTTTTTATCACACTTAGTATTGGTCTTTCGTTAAATTCTCATTTTTCTTTTTTTTTTCCATTATTTCCTTTAAAAATATTTCCTACTTTATTATATCATTCTGTTACTTATAGATAGTTTCACATTTTGTATGGCACAACGAGAATTTGACAAAACACGACTGGGAAGAATGTGTTGCGCCAAAATAAGGAGACTTCCAGTGATTATTTTTCCTATTTTTTTAAAATATTTCTTTTATTTCATAAATGTATATACTTTAGTTTAATTTCTGATTTTACAAAATATCTTTGTGTTTTCCTGAATCTTTCATTTTCTTTTTTTTTATTTCTTTGTCGTTCTGTTCTTTTCTAATCAGTTGTCTCAACACATTTTTTCTCCGAATTTAAATTCTTCTTCTTCTTCTTCTTCTTCTTCTTCTTCTTCTTCTTCTTCTTCTTCTTCTCAATTGCCTCACTCGTTTCATTTTATTCAATTTCGCATTTGTATTTTCTTTTTTATCTCCTTTCTCCTTCTCTCCTTAATTTCATTCTTTCTTCTCTTTTCCATTTTTCTTCTTCCTCTTTTTCTCTTCTTCTTCTTCTTCTTCTTCATCATCATCTTCTTCTTCTTTTTCTTCTTCTTCTTTTTCTTCTTCTTCTTCTTCTTCGTCTTCTTCTTCTCAGTTGCCTCACTTATTTCATTTTATTCAATTTCGCATTTGTATTTTCTTTTTTATATCTTTTCTCCTTCTCTCCCTAATTTCATTTTTTCTTCTCTTTTTCTTCCTCTTTTTCTTCTTCTTCTTCTTCTTCTTCTTCTTCTTCTTCTTCTTCTTCTTCTTCTTCTTCTTCTTCTTCTTCTTCTCAATTGCCTCACTTGTTTCATATTATTCAATTTCGCATTTGTATTCTTTTTTATCTCTTTTTCTTTCTCTCTCTAATTTCCTTCTTTTCTTTCCCATTCTTCTTCTTTTTTACTTTTCAATTGCCTCTCATGTTCAATTTCCATTCTTTTTTATTTATTTTCCTCCTCTCACTTTTTTTACTATTTGTTTTTATCTTTTCCATTGTTATACTTCTTTTCTTTTTTTTATCCTTTTTCTTCTCGTTCTTCGTTTCTTTTTCTTTATATATTTCACCAAAATCCTCTTCACCATAAAATTCGCCATCTATTTACTAACCTCTTCTCCATTCTCATCCATCCTTCTTTTTTCACTTCTTTTAACCGATTCAATTTTTTTTTGTCACCTGTTTCTTTATATTTAATTCTTGCTTTCTCCATCCCGAACTCTTCTCCCTTCAATTGTCTTCGTTAGCTTTCTTTCCTTCGTGACCGCATTCTCCTTCATTTCATACGAACACCACCTGAATATCGGAAACTAATGGCTGGACGCATTCTTCCAGCGTCTCCCGTATTTTCCAGATTAGATTTGTCTTTCTGTTCGCTACTTTTAGACGATGTCGGCCGGCGAATAACTGTAAGGATAAAAATTTTAAATTGGGTTTGTTTCCACCTTAGGGGAAAATTTCCCGACTAAAGGTTCTTTCCAAGGGCTTAAGTTTAAATTTGGAAAACTTTTTATCCCGGTTGTTATTTTTCTTTTAAAATAAACGACGTCCAAACAACTTTAAGGATTTTTTAAATATTTTTAAATTGGAGAGGGAAGGGGGGAAGAAAAAAAAAAATTTGTTAAGGGATTGAAAATTCCCCCCCAAAAAACCCCAAAAAAAACGGGTTTAAAATTTAAAAAATAAAATTTCCCCGGGGGAGTAAACATTCCTAGCTTCCAAAATAATAATAAACTTTTTTAAAAAAGGTCTCCCCAAGAACATCCCTTTTTTTTTTCATTTTTTTTTTAAATTCAAAAATATTTTTTTAAAAATTAAAAGGAAAAGGGGGTTTAAAAAAATTTAAAAGGAAAATTTTTAAAATATTTAAAAAAATTTTAAAAATAACCCCGGGGAAAAACTTAAAAGGTTTTAAGGTTGATTTTTTTTGAAAAAATTTCCTTTTGGAAAACCCCCTTCCAATGCAAAAACGTGAAAAAAGGATCAATTTTGAAAACTTCCATTTTTTATAACAATAAAAAATTTAACTGCGGGGTATTTGGGGCCTTTTTTAAACACACCACACACTTTTTATTTTCAACCCTAAAAACCCACCAAGAGCAAAATTTTTAAAAAGTGTGGGGTTAAAGTAAACATTATTCTAACCCCAGCAAACTTAAACACCAACCTTGGACAAAAAAAAATTAATAAAAAATAATTTTTATTTATCCGGGGGTTCCGAATTCCTAAACTTTTATTTAGGAAATTTGATGCCTTAACCCCTTTCCTAAGGTTTTTGAAACCCTTATTCATGTTTTAAGGGGGTTAGTGTTTCCAATTTTACCAAATTGAAAAACCATTTTTTCCCCCCAAGGGAAAAACCTTTAAAGTGAAAAAAAATTGGAAAAATTTTTGGCTGCGGTTTTTTAAAAATTAATACCCGTTAAAAATTTAATTTCACTTTTTGTTTTCCGGGGGCCACCTTTTAGGTCTTTATTAAAAAAAAGAAAGGTTCCGGAAGGCCCCCCCCCAAAAAATTTAAAAACCGGTAAAATTTTAAAAATTACCTTTTCCCCCAAACCTTTTCCCCATAAAAGGAAATTTTAATTATTGATCCCCAAAACTCTCCCTTTTTTTTTTTTTATTTTTTTAATTTGTTTTTACTTCTATAAATAGGAAAAATTCAAGGTGAGGGGGGTTAAACCGGGATTTCGGCCCGATGCCGATTGTGAAAAATATTTGGGCCCCCTTAAAAGGCCCAAGGTTTAATTTTTTTAAAACCATATTTAAGTCCTTAAATCCTAATTGTCAGTTCTATAAAAAACACGGGGGAATTTTCCCAGGGGCCTTATAACCCCCCAAAGGGGGGGTTTTTTATTTTTAAATAAAAAGGGAAGGAATTTCCTGGAGAAAAGCCCCACCGAAAGGTTATAAATTTTGGGTTGTGCCTTTTTTGGAAATAAATTTTTGGAAGGTTTTTTTTAAAACATTTGTACAAAAAGTAAGATAAATTCCCCCCAAAGGGTAAGTAAAAATTTTTAAAAATCTTTATTAAAAAAAAAAGGGAGGGTTTTCCCCATTTTAACCTTGAAAGAAGGCCCATTTTTTCCCGGGAAATTTTTAAGAAGGATTAATTTTTAAATTTCGGTTTTTGGGATTTTAAAAAAGGCCCTGGCTAAATTTTTTTGGGGCCCCACCTTGAAAAAGGTTAAGACCCTTGGTGGATAATAATTTGGGTTTCTTTCCCTTTAAAGAAAAGGGCCTTTTCCCCAAGGGGGTGAACCATTTGAAAATCCAAAATCCGGTAAAGGGTTTTTTTTGGGGTCCCCCCCAAACCCTTGTTGTTAAAACCCTAAACAAAAACCCTTTTAATGATTTTTATGGGGTTTCCTAAAAAGGGGCCCCGGGGATCACCCGGATTCTTAAAAACGGGGTTTTAAAAACCCCCTTTACACCTTTCTTGATTAAAAAAGGGAATTTTTTTTCATCCAAAAAACCTCGTTAAAAATTGGGAAAAAATTCCCATTGATATTCCCAAAAAAGGGAAACCAAAACCAATTTTGTTTTTTTAATCAGTAATTTCGGGTTGATTTAAATTAATTTTGGCTTCCGGGGGCTGGAAAAATACCATTTAATTAAAACTGAGATTTAGAAGCCCCGGGAAGTAAAGTAATCCGGGTTTTCAAAAAAGCCTTGGGATAAAAGGTTTTCTTAGGGAACCAAAAAGAGCAGTAAACCAAAAGGGGCAGACATTTATTTTAAAAAGGGGGGGGTTCCCAAAACCCCCCAAACAATTTTGTTTTGTTTTGTTTTTTTTTTTTTTGGGGGGGTTTTTAACCCTTTACCTTGGGAACCATGCAGTTTTTCCTTGACGATTCCCAGCTTTTTTAATAAAAAAAAGGGTGCCCCAAACCCCCCCATTCCCTTGCTTGGTTTTTAAGGGTTAGGGGGTTTGCAAAAAAAAAGGCCAAAAAGGGCTGATTTGGTAAGCAATTTTTCCCCCTTGGGGTAAATCTTTTAACCGGGCAAAGACCGGTTTTAAAGGAAAGGGCCCCCAGTTTTTAGGCAAGCATGCTTAAAAAAGGAAACCTTTCCCCAAAGAAGGTTTTTAAAAAGGCCAAAAAAAACCTTTTTGGATTAAGGGGTAAAAACTTCTAAAAGGGGCAAATAAAATACCCCCCCCGGTTTTTTTAAAAACGGGGATAGAGAATTCTGTGCTTTAAAAAGGGAAATTTTCCCTTGGTTTTAATTTTTAAATATATTATTATATTTTAAAAAAGGAATTTTGTTCAGGGATTTTTATTTAAAGAAATTTTCCAAAAAAAAATATATTTTTTTGTTTTCAAAAAAATAATATATTTTTTTTTAATTTTTTTTTAAAAGGCTTTGATAAATTTTCCCCCGGGGCGAAAGGCCCCTCAAAAACCATTTTTTTGGGGGTTTTTTTTACCTTTTAAATTTTTTAATTTTTAAACCGGAAAGAAATTTTTTTTTTTTTTTTTTTTTGTTTTTTTTTTAAAACCACCTGAACCCCACAAAAATTTTTTCCCTTAATGATTTTAGCCGAAGGCAGAAATTCAAACAAACCATTCCAAAATTTTGAATAAGGGTTATTTAAATACCAGAAAAAGGAAACGGGAACTTAAAAGTTTTTTAAAAAAATTATTCCAAAAAACCCATTTTTTAAATTTTGGGCCGGAAAAAAGTTTTGGAGGAAGCTGAAAAAGGAAACTTTGTTGATTTTTTTGCGTACCATTTATTGGGGAAAAATTTTCCCTTAAATAAAAATTGGGGGATATTTTGGTTTTATCGTTCTACCGCAGAAAATGACAAAAAATGTTAAAAGGGATTGAAAAAAACGCAAAATATTTTTTTTAAAAAAATAAAAAAAAAAAATTAAAAATTTGGGACCCAATTACGGTTTTTTTAACAAATTTTAAAATTTAAAAAAATTTATATTTTTTTTTTTTTGAAAAAAAAAATTTTTTTAAATTTTTTGGGGAATTTGTTTTTAAAAAAGTTTGGGCCGCGAAGAAACCCATTTTCCCCCAAAATTTGCAATTCTCTTTTTTCCCTACTTTAAAATTAGAAATTTTATTTTTATATTTAAATAATTATTAATTATATTATTTAATTATTGGGGACTTTATCCCTCGTCTCACCAAATAAGCCTTTTAAAATTTTTTAAGGTTTAAAAAAATTTTGAAAGCCCAAAAAAAAAGAAAAGGGTTAATAAATAAAAAAAAACCAAAGGGTTTGGGTTAAAAAAGAATTAATAAAAAATTTTTTTAAAAATTTGAATTTAAATTTTCCTAAAAAAAAAGGGAATTTTTAATTTTGGGGGTTTTTTGTAATTTTGAAATTTGGAAAAATTTCCAATTTCCCAGAAATTTTCAGTTCCTTTTTAAAAAGACTACCCACGAAAAGGGGTTAGCTTAAAGTTAGAAATTTGATTTTAATAAAAAAACCAAAACCCCAATTTTTGATTTAAAACAAGAAGGGAAACACCGAAAATTAGGGGGAAAAGAAAAATTCTTAAATTTGAAAATTAGGGTCAACCGGAAAAAAGAATATTGGAAAATTTTAAGGAAAAAGGGAAAAAGGGGGGTTTTAAAAATTGGCACCAAAGCTTTAAAAATTTTTTGGGTTTCACTTCCAAAAAAAATTTTTTTTAAAATTTTTAAAATGCAAAACGTCAATTTTTGTTTTGTTGGGGCCCTTTTTAATTATTCCAAACGTTTTCGTTTTTGGGTTTTAATTTTTTTTCACCCCCAGTAAAACTTTTGGGTTTTAGGGCCTTTAAGGTTGTTAAAAAGGCAATTAAAAAAAAAACAAAAAAAAAAAAAAAAAAAAAACAAAAAAAGAAATTTTTAGCATTTTTTAAAAATTTTTAATAAAGGGGCCAAATTTGTTACCCAAAACTGATTGCTTGGGAAAACCAAAAAGTTGGATTGGGTCATTGCCCAAATTTTTTTTATTTTAAACAAAATTTAAGGAAAATAAATTTTTTTTGGGTTTTTTAAAAAAAAATTTCTCTCCCAAATTCGAATTTTTAAATTTTAAATCAAAAGGAAATAAGGGAAAGGTGCCAATAATAAAATTACCTTTAAATTTAAATTTTTTCCCTTTTTCTTCCATAAAAACGATTTTTAAAATTGAACCCAAATTTTTTTAATTTTTTTTTAAAATTTTTTTTAATGCTTTTGAAGGAAATTTTTTTTAAGATTTTTTTCACCTGTAATATTTTTTAGGGGCCTTTAATTTTGTGTTGATTCAAAAAAAAAAAAATTTAAAAAAAACAAAATTTTTTAACATTTTAGTCTTTTTCATTGCCAAAATTTTCACCCGAAACGGTTTTAGGGGCAAAAATTAAGCCTTTGGTTTGGGTCATTTCCAAAAATTTTTTTTCCCCAATTTTAAGGGCTGAAAG